CCCCAAAACCCCAAAACCCCAAAACCCCAAAACCCCAAAGGAATTGTTACAATTTGAAATGAGATATACTCCAGTAAATGCTGATAGCATTTTGTGTTGAGATTTTTACTCTTTATTAGAAAGTGGATAATCTGTTGGGCACAGATTTATCTCAACACTTACTCTATCAGAGATTTTTGTACTTTAAGAGCATAATGGTTTTGTTTCTTGTCTTAAATTACTCTACAAAAGTGAAGCCTCTGTTAGTGCTCACTTAGCTCTTTTGTACTTCGAAAGTATCCTTCTCTTTTTAGATTGCTGGGTGCCAGGCTTAGATTTCACAGGGGAAGAATTAAAATTAGTATTCTGTTTATGCACCGGGAACAAAGTCCTATTCGTCACCGATCCCCTCTTAGCCTTCCTCGAAACTGCGATCAAATTGATCGGGACTTGGGTTGCCGACTCCCTTACGCTCCCTGCTAAGCTATCCCTAAAGTATCACTCTACCACCTACTCTTGATGTCTAGATATCCTCTTGGAGGAATGGTTTCCCATAAACCTCTCTCAAACCTTGGTCAAGGTGGCTCACTTGTCCTTAGACTTGGACTGGCTCAGAAGTTTGTTCCTCTTATTGAATAATTTCTTGTTGATGATTGGTTTAGACTCTCCCTTGACCACATCGTTCAGGGAGTTTAGTAAGCAAAGGTTGTCTTTTGAGTCATCTAAGTAAAAGTTGCTGCCTATGGATCTGAACTTGAGATGGATGCTATTCAACTTGTCAAACTGAGACAGGCGCTTTTTAGGTGTGGACAAGATCAAGTCCTGGTTCAGAGATTTTGTATGTGCAGTACGTGTTTTAGGTCGGGAAATCGTCAAAGTTAGGGTTGTTAGAGGTAGATTGGATAGTATCCTGGTTTTGGTGATTGTTAGTATTGTGAGCTATAGAGGTAAGTTGGGGATTTACGATTGTTAATTTGGCTAGCTTTGATCCATTCAATTTCGGTGAGAAGTTCCTCAATTCTTTTATCTTTTGCCTTCACAAGATCTTCTAATTCTTTCTCTTTTGCTCGGCTCTGACTGATGCTGCTTTTGAGCCTGAAATGAAGCTTATCAAATTGAGATTTCATCTCATTAATATCATTCTGAGCATTTTCTTTTATTTCTAATTAAAATAAAGGTAAAGAATTTACCCTGATTTTGCTTTTCTAGTTCTTGAATTCTGTCAAGTAAATTATTTTTCATTTGTAAAATCTAGGTTGAAAATTTTCATCGTCTCAAAATCCTGAATAGTTATAGAGAGTTGTTTCTCTAATTTCCTAACTTTGTCTTCTAAATCAGATATTATTTTATCTTTATCTTCATTGTCATCGACCTCGTCAATCTTTTGGCCAAGTGTCTTTATAAGATCCTCAACTATAATAAAGTGTCAACTATAATTTACCAATTTTCCGCTGAACCAGGATATTTTCTTGCTCAATTACCATCCTAAAGGACTTTTCCTCGTTATGTATCATATTCATTGCACTGGTGTGTAACTTCAGGTATTGCTCTATAAACCCGTCCATTTGGGTCATACAGAGGTTCTTCAGCTTGGCTTGCTTCTTGTTGACTAAATTCTCTGAGATTTGGTAGATTCTCTTTCTCTCCTCTTTAATCTTGTTCTCATGGACCTAGGTTGATTAATTAAGTAACTTACGATTCTTAAGGTATTCATGTTATTTTAAAGATTCCCTTTTTGTCATGGTGATTGCAAGAGATTTCTGCTTAACTAATGAATTGATAGTGCTCGTGGGAGATCCAAGGTCTCCCACAGAGCTTAGTAATTCACTTGATTGAATCTCTGAACTCTCTTCATCATATTTTATAGGATTTTGAAACCTCCCTCTACGGAGATTTGGAGAAATCGATTTTACAGACTTCATGGGAGATTGACTCCCTCTGAAAGATGATGCCATTGATCCAAGTCCGTTCTTGGGTTTTGAGATAGAAAAGCTTAAGTTGAGTTTATTTCCGTTCAGACTGGTTCTTGAGTAGTGAAATTTCTTGAGCTTCAAATTCTTCAAGGTAATCCTCGGAATCTTTTTGTCCAATATCATATAAGCTTGTATCAAAAGCAGATGCAGCTGCATCATTATTGATGATTTCAGTTAACTCAGATGATATCTGTGCAGTATCTGGTTTGTAATTTTGAATTTCTTGATTTCTACAGAAACGATAAAACTAGACTTTACTCTTTGAACTTATTTGATGATCTCCTTCTTTGCCATAAAAGGATTTGTATGACGCAAGTTAAGCTTCTCAACCTTATTTTTCAGGTTAAAAGCTACTATTTTATCATTCTTGAGGCCAACTACTTTGGACTTTATTTGGTCTTTCTGACCTGTGAAGTTTTTCATTTATTCAATATAATTTATTTTATAAGGGGTTTTGGGGTTTTGGGGTTTTGGGGTTTTGGGG